GTCGTAGCGTGTGAAGACCTCGCATATAGTGCCTACAGTATGTTGTTGTTGGGGAGAGAGAGAGAGAGAGAGACATAGATAGATAGAGAGGTACATGGAGAGATGGAGAGGGAGAGACATAGATAGATGGAAAATCCAAAGATAGATAGAGGAAGATACATGCAATAAGAGAAGATAGATTGATAGAGAACAAGAGAGCGAATGAGAAAGAGAGCGAGAGTTCAACATTCTGGATATACACTTGTACAAGCTCATGCAACACACGTTCAAACCGCACTCCTTGAGTAGCAGACCCACAACAAAAACAAAAACTCGAACAGCACACAGTATTTTTTGGAACTCTCCCCACTCCCCACTGCGCTCTTAGCCCACATTCACAACACCATGCTCCATAGGGAGGGGCAACTCCTCGCTCCTCGCTCCAAGAGCGCAGTGTGCAGTGGTGGAGTGTTTAAAAATTTCAAATGGCCAAGTTCGTCGCAACTTCTACAGCACACATTACGATAGAAGATACCTGGATGATTGCAAATCTGACCATCTCCGACATAGCCGCTGTTGCATTGACAGACGTATGAGCCGGTCGTGTCCTTGCACTCGGCGTTCACATCACAGCTGTATGTGTTCGCCTCGCACTCATTCAGATTCACGCAGTCAAAGCCGGTGCCGGTGTAACCGTGGCGACAGCTGCACGTGAACGAGCCCAGCGTGTTGTGGCAGCTGGCCATGGCGTGACAGGTGTGCGTGGACACTGCGTCGTCGCCAGCATTCGTCATGGTTACGTCTGCGGCGGCGTCACCGTTACCATGGCCACACTCGTTGATGTCAACGCACTGTATGCCGTTGCCGGTGTAGCCAGCTCGACACGAACACTTGTATGAACCGACCACGTTGCTACACTTGGCGACACTGCTGCACTTGTGAGTTTGCAACACACACTCGCCCACGTCCTGGCATTTGCCAGAACCGTCGGTGGCCGCCGCTTCGTAACCACGGCGACACACACAGGTGTAGGAGCCACGCGTGTTGCGACACTTGGTGCTGCCAAGGTCGCACTCATGCGTTCGCAGCACGCACTCGTCCACGTCCTCGCAGAGCAGGCCATCGCCCTCGTACCCGGTCACGCACTCGCACGCGTACGAGCCATTCGTATTCGTGCACTCGGAGAGCAGCGGGTCACAGTAGCGCAGCTCCGCGTCATCTCGCGTGGTCTCCTCGCACTCGTTCAAGTCTTCGCACTGATACCCGCTGCCCGTATACCCCGTGGAGCAGTAGCAGTCGTATGAGCCGAGTACGTTGCGGCACACACCGCCCCGCTCCAGCTCCTCGCACTGGTGCGTCTGCGCCGAGCATTCGTCCTCGTCAAAGCACTCCAGCCCGTTGCCGACGAACCCGGCGCGGCACGAGCAAGAGAACGTCGCGTTTGAGTTCAAACAGTCGGCCATCCAGTGGCAGTTGTGCGTGCCGGCCTGGCATTCGTTTCGATCCTTGCACACGACTCCATCACCCTTGTAGGCCTTGAGACACGTGCAGTGGAACGACCCAAACGTGTTTGTGCATGCCGCCTGCTCGTGGCAATTGTGCTCGCCCAGAAGGCACTCGTCTCGATCGCCACACGTGACTCCGTTGCCTTGGAAACCCGCGAGACAGGTGCACGCGTACGCACCGACAGTGTTGGCGCAGCTGGCGTGCAGGCTGCAGTTGTGCACGCTCTCCCCACACTCGTCGTGGTCATCACACACCTCGCCCGGCCCCTGATAACCCGTGGCGCACGCACAGAAGTACGAGCCGTGCATGTTGTAGCAGTGCGCGTTGCCATGACAATTCGACGCACCGTCGGTGCTGCACTCGTCAACATCCGAACAAGTCGTGCCGTTGCCATGGAATCCGGTGATGCATTTGCACGTGAACGAGCCGTCGACGTCTGTACAGGTCGCCGAGTGTGGATGACACGAGTGAGTCTTTGCGTTGCACTCATGTATGTTTTCGCAGGCGAACCCGTTTCCAGTGTAGCCCTCGTTGCACGAGCACTTGTACCTGCCGATCAGATTCCGGCACTTCGCCTTTGCGTGGCAGCCCCCGCGGTTGTCGGCGCATTCGTCGTCGTCCTGGCAACCGAATCCGTCGCCATGGTAACCGTCCGCACACACGCACGTGTAGTTGCCCGGCGAGTTGTCGCAGTGCGCGTTGCTATGACAACCATGGACGTCGAGCGCGCACTCGTTCTTGTCGAAGCAGCGTGTCGTGCTGCCACCGTCGGTGGCGGCGGAGTATCGATAACCGTGACGACACTGGCAGCGGTACGAACCGATCAAGTTTTGACACGTGGTCGAGGGCGCGTGGCAGCTGTTGTCGCTGCTGCCCTCACACTCATTCACGTCGTGGCAGGTTTCATTCCCGTTGCCTAGGTAGCCCGGGGCGCAGTCACACTCGAATGAGCCGACGGTGTTTCGGCACGTGGAGTGGATCGTGCAGCTGTGAACGCCGCCCTCGCACTCGTTGATGTCGGCGCATGCCTTGCCCGTGCCTTCGTACCCACTTGCGCAGAAGCAGCGATAGGAGCCGTACGTGTTCCGGCACGTGGCGTGCGAGTGGCATTCGTTGCCCGTCTGACACTCGTCGCTGTCATGGCAATAGCTGATCCCGTCGCCAGCATAGCCGGCTTTGCACGTGCACGAGTATGATCCGTGATTATCGACGCACGCGGCCAGTCGATGGCAGTTGGCGACGCCGTCATAGCACTCATTCCGATCCCGACAGTCAAGCCCGTTGCCTCGGTAGCCAGGATTGCAGAAGCACGAAAAAGCACCGGCATAGTTTACGCACTCCGCGTCTTTGTGGCAGTTGTCTGTTCCGAGTTTGCATTCGTCCTTGTCGGTGCAATTGCCGACGCCATCTCCTTCGTAGCCATGGGCACAGGAGCATACATAGGAACCTGGATTGTCATTGCAGATGGCTAGATGGTGGCAGTTGGCCACATGCTCCTTACACTCGTCCCGATCCCGACAGTCCAGCCCGTTACCATGGTAGCCAGGCTTGCACGAGCACGCAAACGTGCCTTCGAGGTTGGTGCAGGTGGCGCTGCCGTGGCAACTGTGTGTCTCCTGCTCGCACTCGTTCTCGTCGCTGCAGTTGAACCCGTTGCCCTTGTACCCAGTCTCGCAGCTGCAGTCGTACGCACTGTCCTTGTTGATGCAGCGCGCTCGCCGATCGCACGTGTGCTGCTCCTGTTTGCACTCATCGTGGTCGGTACATACCACCCCGTTGCCATAGTAACCGTCGCGGCAGTGGCATACGTAGGAGCCGATGACGTTACGGCACGTGGCCAGGTGCGGATGGCACGTGTCGTCTCCCAGGGTGCACTCGTCCGCATCGTCGCAATCCGTGCCGTTACCCAGGTAGCCCTTTAGGCATTCGCACCAGAACGAGCCGGCGGTGTTGCGGCAGGTGGCCTGCGTGTGGCAGTTGTGCTGGCCGCTAGCGCATTCGTCACGATCTCCGCACCCGTCCACTCGCCACTCGTAGCCAGTCCTGCACTGGCAGTGGAACGCGCCGGGCGTGTTGCTGCAGACGGAGAGCGCGCCGCAGCCGTGGCTCCCCTCCTGACACTCGTCCTTGTCCTGACACGCGACGCCCGAGCCTTTGTAACCCGACCAGCACTGGCAGGAGAAGAACCCAGGGTTGTTGTTGCAGGTGGCGGCGGGATCGCAGTCGTGAAGCTGCAGCGAGCACTCGTTGATGTCCGTGCATGTCCGCCCGTCGCCAGAGTAGCCATCCAGACAGTGGCAGACGTAGCTGCCCGCCGTGTTGGAGCAGCTAGCCAGGTGATCGCAGTCATCCACGCCATCCTCACACTCGTCCCAATCGTGACAACTGACACCATCACCGGCATAGCCAACATAGCAGTTGCACTCAAATGAGCCTTCGACATTATTACAGAAAGCCAGCCGATGGCAATCGTGCGTCTTCAGGTGGCACTCATCGATGTCTGAGCAGGTCTTCCCGTCTCGATTAAAACCGCTGCGGCAACGGCACTCGTAGGACCCTTCGGTGTTCTGGCATTGACTCCGCTTATCACAAGTGTCCGAGCTGTCCCGGCATTCGTTCTTATCAGTACACTGAACTCCGTTTCCACCGTAGCCTGCACGACACTGGCATGTGAAGGACCCTGGTGAATTATTGCAAGTCGCCAATCGGTGACAATTGTGTATGTCTTGCAAGCACTCATTAGTATCCAAACAGTCACCAGTCTTATTCTTGTAATAACCCACTGGGCATTTGCACAAATAGGACCCAGGGATGTTGGTGCAGTTTGCCTGGGAGCCGCAGACAGCTGCAGTACCATCGGCTGCCAGCACGCTACACTCATCGTCGTCATTGCAATCAACACCATTCCCGTGGTAACCTCCGTCACAAGAACATGTGAAATTACCATCTGTATTGTTGCATGAAGCAAGTCGATGACAATTATGCGTACCCATTTTGCACTCATCATTTTCTTTGCAGCTCAGACCATCTCCAGAATATCCACTGTGACATTGGCAGACAAAAGATCCTTGGGTATTTCGGCAGGATGCAAATTCGTGACAGTTATTCTCACCAGACGATAAGCACTCATCTTCATCTGCACAAGTGAGTCCATCACCAGCATAACCAGCCTCGCATACACAACTAAACGATCCCTTATTATTAGTGCAACCGGCAAATTGGTCACACGTATGCTCACTGGTATCGCACTCATTATGATCTGAGCATGTAACACCATTTCCAAAATAACCGGCTGAGCAGTGACAAACATAAGAACCAACTATGTTTCTGCAAGAAGCCTTTTCATCACAATTATTGTGAGTAGTAGCATTACATTCATCTTTATCAGCGCAAACAACTCCATTGCCTGAGTAGCCATTTGGACATACGCAAGTGAAATTCCCATTTGTATTATTGCAAGAGGCTAGACGATGACAGTTATGCATTCCCAATACACACTCATTTTTGTCAAGGCAGTTCATACCATCTCCGGAATATCCACTGGGACAATGACAGACGAAAGATCCTTCCGTGTTTACGCAAGACGACAAACGATGACAGTTTTGGCCACCTGTTGGAGAACACTCGTCAACATCTGTACATTGGACGCCATCTCCTTCATAACCTTGGTAACAGTTGCATTCGAAAGATTTGGGAATGTTGGAGCACGTTGCTTGCGGGTGACAGTTGTGAGTTTGCAGTTGACATTCATTTTTGTCTGCACATTCGGATCCATTTCCAGAGTACCCGTCGGGGCAACGGCAAATGTAGCTTCCCGGTGTATTTGAGCAGTTAGCCAAGCGATCGCAGTCATCCACGCCAACCGCACACTCGTCCCAATCGTGACAACTGACACCATCACCGGCATAGCCAACGGAGCAGTTGCATTCAAATGAGCCTTCGAAATTATTACAAAAAGCCAGCCGATGGCAATCGTGCGTCTTCAGGTTGCACTCATCGATGTCTGAGCAGGTCTTCCCGTCTCGATTAAAACCGCTGCGGCAACGGCACTCGTAGGACCCTTCGGTGTTCTGGCATTGACTCCGCTTATCACAAGTGTCCGAGCTGTCCCGGCATTCGTTCTTATCAGTACACTGAACTCCGTTTCCACCGTAGCCTGTATGACACTGGCATATGAAGGACCCTGGTGAATTATTGCAAGTCGCCAATCGGTGACAATTGTGTATGTCTTGCAAGCACTCATTAGTATCCAAACAGTCACCAGTCTTATTCTTGTAATAACCCACTGGGCATTTGCACAAATAGGACCCAGGGATGTTGGTGCAGTTTGCCCGGAAGCCGCAGACAGCTGCAGTACCATCGGCTGCCAGCACGCTACACTCATCGTCGTCATTGCAATCAACACCATTCCCGTGGTAACCTCCGTCACAAGAACATGTGAAATTACCATCTGTATTGTTGCATGAAGCAAGTCGATGACAATTATGCGTACCCATTTTGCACTCATCATTTTCTTTGCAGCTCATACCATCTCCAGAATATCCACTGTGACATTGGCAGACAAAAGATCCTTGGGTATTTCGGCAGGATGCAAATTCGTGGCAGTTATTCTCACCAGACGATAAGCACTCATCTTCATCTGCACAAGTGAGTCCATCACCAGCATAACCAGCCTCGCATACACAACTAAACGATCCCTTATTATTAGTGCAACCGGCAAATTGGTCACACGTATGCTCACTGGTATCGCACTCATCATGATCTGAGCATGTAACACCATCTCCAAAATAACCGGCTGAGCAATGACAAACATAAGAACCAGCAATGTTTCTGCAAGAAGCCTTTTCATCACAATTATTGTGAGTAGTAGCATTACATTCATCTTTATCAGCGCAAACAACTCCATTGCCTGAGTAGCCATTTGGACATACGCAAGTGAAATTCCCATTTGTATTATTGCAAGAGGCTAGACGATGACAGTTATGCATTCCCAATACACACTCATTTTTGTCAAGGCAGTTCATACCATCTCCGGAATATCCACTGGGACAATGACAGACGAAAGATCCTTCCGTGTTTACGCAAGACGACAAACGATGACAGTTTTGGCCACCTGTTGGAGAACACTCGTCAACATCTGTACATTGGACACCATCTCCTTCATAACCTTGGTCACAGTTGCATTTGAAAGATTTGGGAATGTTGGAGCACGTTGCTTGCGGGTGACAGTTGTGAGTTTGCAGTTGACATTCATTTTTGTCTGCGCATTCGGATCCATTTCCAGAGTACCCGTCGGGGCAACGGCAAATGTAGCTTCCCGGTGTATTTGAGCAGTTAGCCAAGCGATCGCAGTCATCCATGCCAACCGCACACTCGTCCCAATCATGACAACTGACACCATCACCGGTATATCCGCCGAGGCATTCACATGTGAAATTGCCGTCAGAGTTGAGGCACTTGGCCAGCCGGTGGCAATTGTGCGTCTCCGACAAACACTCGTTCGCGTCCGAGCATGTCTGCCCGTCACCTTGGAAACCCGAGTTGCACTGACACCGGAAACCGCCCTCGGTGTTCGTGCACACGGCGTCGGCGTGGCAACCGTGCGCTTCGCCCGCGCACTCGTTCTCGTCCGTGCAGTGTGTTTCGTTGCCGCGGTAACCTGGGATGCAATGGCAGCTGTACGCACCCTGCTGGTTCTGACAGGTGGCAATCGACACGGAGCATGCGTGGAGACCGTGGGAACACTCATCCACGTCCTTGCACTCGTACCCATTGCCAGCATAGCCGCGATTGCAGGCACACGAGAATGAGCCGTCGGTGTTCGAACAAGTGGCCGCGGCGTGGCACGAGTCCAGCTTGTCCATGCATTCATTCTTGTCGGAGCAGTTGGAGATGCCATTGCCCTCGTAGCCCTCTTTGCACTCGCAGTGGAACCCCGGCACGCGGTTGGAGCAGAGCGCGTGCCGGTGGCACGAGTGAGTTTTCGCATTGCACTCGTTTTCGTCCCGGCACACAAGGCCGTCCCCGTCGTAGCCGGCCTGGCACTGGCAGAGAAAGGAGCCACGGGTGTTGCGACACGACGCGTCTGCAGAGCACGCACGAACGCTAGCCGAGCATTCGTCCTTGTCCGTGCAGTTGATGCCGTTGCCAGTATATCCGTCCTCGCACACGCAGCGAAAATCTCCCTCTTTGTTGACGCATTTGGCGTTTCGGTCGCACGTGTGCTCATCAGTCTGGCACTCGTCATAATCCGAGCATGCAGCACCATCGCCAAAGTACCCGTCCAGGCAGTGACAGACAAACGAGCCACCGGTATTCCTGCAAGAAGCTTTTTCAGCACAGTTGTCAGTACGATCAGAACACTCATCCTCATCGGCACAAACAACTCCATTGCCTGAGTAGCCACTTTGACACGCGCAAGTGAAATTCCCAATGGTATTATTGCACGATGCTAGTCGATGGCAGTTATGCATACCCATTCCACACTCATCATTATCTCCACAATTTACACCATCTCCAGAATATCCAGCAGGACATTGGCACACGAAAGAGCCTTCAGTATCTCTGCAGGATGATAATTTATGACAATTATGACCACCAGCTGATGAACACTCATCCTTATTGACACAAGTAGTTCCATTACCATCATAGCCTGGCTCACAAACACAGCTGAACCCTCCCTCGTTATCAGTGCAACGGGCAAATTGGTCACACGTATGCTTATTGGTCTGGCACTCATCATGATCCGAGCATGTAACACCATTTCCAAAGTACCCTGTCAGGCAGTGACAAACAAATGAACCAGCGATATTCCTGCAAGAAGCTTTTTCAGCACAGTTGTCAGTACGATCAGAACACTCATCCTCATCGGCACAAACAACTCCATTGCCTGAGTAGCCACTTTGACACGCGCAAGTGAAATTCCCAATGGTATTATTGCACGATGCTAGTCGATGGCAGTTATGCATACCCATTCCACACTCATCATTATCTCCACAATTTACACCATCTCCAGAATATCCAGCAGGACATTGGCACACGAAAGAGCCTTCAGTATCTCTGCAGGATGATAATTTATGACAATTATGACCACCAGCTGATGAACACTCATCCTTATTGACACAAGTAGTTCCATTACCATCATAGCCTGGCTCACAAACACAGCTGAACCCTCCCTCGTTATCAGTGCAACGGGCAAATTGGTCACACGTATGCTTATTGGTCTGGCACTCATCATGATCCGAGCATGTAACACCATTTCCAAAGTACCCTGTCAGGCAGTGACAAACAAATGAACCAGCGATATTCCTGCAAGAAGCTTTTTCAGCACAGTTGTCAGTACGATCAGAACACTCATCCTCATCGGCACAAACAACTCCATTGCCTGAGTAGCCACTTGGACATGAGCAATTGAACTTCCCAATGGTATTATTGCACGATGATAGTTGATGGCAGTTATGCATACCCATTCTACACTCATCCTCGTCTTCGCATACAACGCCATCTCCAGAATACCCACTCAGACAATTACACAAAAAAGATCCATCCGTATTGCGGCATGAAGCAAACACATGACAGTTGTGGTCCCTTCTCACCGAGCATTCCTTTTTGTCAGCGCAGGTGAAGCCGTCTCCGACGTACCCTACACCGCACTTGCACTCGTAATGCCCTCCTGTGTTGCTGCAGTTGGCGAGTGGCGAGCACGTGTGTGTGCCCTCCGAGCACTCGTTAATGTCGGTGCACTGGCCCGTGCCGAACCGGTATCCAGCGTCGGCGCAAGAACAGACAAACGAACCGGGCACGTTACGACACTTCATGTCGACACCCAGGCACTGTGTATCGCACTCGTCCACGTCCTTGCACCGTTTCCCGTCACCGTCATAGCCCTCGTAGCACTCGCAGCGAAACGCGCCCGGTTCGTTTGTGCACGTGGCGTGCTCACTGCACGTGTTGTCCTTCCACGAGGCACACTCGTCCGTGTCCGAGCAGGTGGTTCCGTTGCCGACGTAACCCTTGAGACAGGCGCAGCTCAGCCGACCGAGCCAGTAGGAGCATGTGGCGGTGCTGTGGCACTTGTGTGTGCCCTGTGTGCAGGTGTCGGCTATGCACACGCCAGCGGGCCCCACCAGCTCGGTCGAGGGGTCGCAGTCGCAGCGATACGAACCCACCGTGTTCGTGCAGGTGGCACTCAGCGCATTGCAGCCGTGCGTTCCGCTCATGCATTCGTTGCTGTCAATACAAGCGTCGTTGCTGAGCTCGAAACCCGGCGGGCAGACACACTCAAAGCCAGGCGCAGTGTCCACGCAGGTGCTTGATGGATCCTTGCACTGCGTGCTGCCCGTGCTTTTGGTGCACGGCGCCTCGACTGCATTGGGCAAGGAATTGGGCGAGGAGGCATGCATGCGCGTGCAGCAACACATAACCACACAAACACACACACATGCACGCACACACATGCACGCAACCACACATGCACACATATGTACACACACACACACACACACACACACACACACACACACACACACACACACACACACGCACGCATGCACGCACACACACACACACATGCACGCACACACACACACACATGCACGAAACACCCACAAACAAACACACGCACCCACCCGAGTTAGAGAATCCCCTACACCATGCACTATCTTCCAGTCTTCTCGAGAAGGACACAAACCCCACTGGCTCCCAAATGGATATAATACACAGTGAAACCGATCTAGGACGAACACCAAGGGACCAGTGGTATTTATTTGCAATAGCGGGAGTTCTTCTTATCCATAGCGTATATCCAGTGAATACACCGTGATTTGCCCAATACAGTTATGGATGCTGGTAACACCTAAAGCTAAGAAAGCTAAGGTTTGTCTTATCACTCTTATCAGTGTTGTTCTGTTAAAATGATGTTTCACTGTGCTTACAACGCAGCGGCGTCGGACACGGTACGGCCACTGTGGTATAGACGTTATGCACGTTGTACAGATGTACGAAGTTCCGTACTAGGACCGTAGGTGTGTACAGACCCGGTTGGGTGTTCATTGTGTGCTATGCATGCGCATTTGACCAAGTTTAGCCTCACAATTAATGGCAAGCAATCGCTTTTCCAGCTTCTTCACTTTGGTTACAACTAATGACTAGCTAGATCTTTGTCAGGGAAAAGTTTTCGTATGAAATGCCTTCAGGGCCCATTTCGCAGTGGTAATAGCCGTATCCTCACTGGCCATGTGCTGAGGATGAGTGAGCAATCGCCCCCTTGCCTTGCGATGTCCTGCTATTTTCAAGCGGGGTCACGTGGACGAAGGGGCCGTCCCGCAGCTACTCTCCCTACCACCATCATGAAGGACCTGGCAGGGCACGACATCCCTTTGAAGAATGCCAGCGACCTAGAAGGAGCATGAGCATTTGCTGCAGACAAGTCGAAATGGAGATCAGACATTGTTTATGGATGAGTTTTTGTTGACTGGAGACAGAAGCGGACTTGGCTTAATTTCAGTGTATTCTTATACATTGTTCTTTGGGCTTTGTACACGTGCTGTGGTATTATTACTTCCTCCGTATACAAAAACTTCGTGACTTTTTTGAACGGTGTTTTTGAGAAAGAACCTGCTCAACGAACGTCGCCAAAGGCTGTCATCGACAACCCACGTCCATGTCGAGATTAGTTTGGTTGATCCCGAACAGATTCTCCACGGACGCCATCCGTGTGAGGACGTTGCCGACAGAAACTCAAGAGTCAAATGAAAAAAAACTAACACTTACTTGCTCGAAACTGACACAATGACGAAGTGTAGTTCGTGGCTGGAAATACATAATCCTACACAGTTGCGAGGGCATGATGCTCTGATCAGGCCCGAGGTCTGTGAGTGATCTTGCCCGAGGTTGCGACGCCCAAGGGGCGAAGCCCCGAGGGCGTCGCGACCGAGGGTAAGATCACTCACATGACCGAGGGCCTGATCAGAGCGGCATGCCCGACGCAACTGTGTAGGATTGTGGTTCAGACAAGGCCCAGTACATGTATATGGAGTAGAGAGATTCAAACAGAAAGAAAGCCTTGACGGCAAATGAGTTGATGTCACATTGTGTGCAGTGACCATCACAAACAGCTATTTGTTTGGTCGGAACTTTCCAGTTTTGAGATGAAAGTATTCAAGTAGTAACGTTAGTACCAGTAATATGACGGATTCGGAATAAACCCGTTCTTCGAGTTAGATGATTGCCAGAGTAAGGTTCAAATGCGAGTGCTGAGAAGCTGCAGCCTTAGGGCAGGTACAACATGTACGTGTGGAGGTCTGCTTCCCTTGTGTACGTGTCGCCGCGAGAAACAGGACCAGCTGCAAGGTCGGTTGGCGTTTCTGGTCTCCCTGCAGACGTTCAAGACAGTCGTGAGTATAATAATTTTGGAGAAGAGAGACAAATTTCTAGTCCTCGTCGGAGATGTTGCCCAAGGCAAGGACTTCGAAAAATGGTAAATGCGCATGTGCGGCGCGGTGCTGTACGACTGCTGTTCTTGACCGGCTAAGCGGTCAAGATCGACTGATCTTGACTGCTTATTCTGGCCGCTCATTGGCCGTCTCCTGGCAACAAGCACGTGCCATGTCTGAACACGGAGTCACGCGGCACTCGCTGCACTGAAACTGGCCAGGCTCGTAGATCTACGTCGTACTTGCGGTGCGCGGCCCCATAGATCTGCGCAGCGTGAGAACATAGATTTGTTTTCGCTCGCACGGCAAGATGAAACATTTCAGTCGTCGTGCAACCAGCGCAGACTCAGGATCAGAATGTCGATGGCCTGGCTTTCTTCGCCTCTCTCCAGTCAGACGTCTCCTTTGTCGCCAAGGGGAATCGCAGGGACCTCCTCGAAGCCATTGTAGAATGCTTGGGAGGATTATCCTGGCGAGAAAATGCGAAGCGTGTGGATGTGCTTGTACGACTCGTTTCACGGCATAATGGAGGTCGCGGGTTGGAACGACTGAATATAGTCGACAACGATTCGTACACAGCTCTGGAGATGAAGAGGACGTAGCCAAAGTCCAGCGTCGGACCATCACTGCAGGTGACAAGAATCTGAACGAAATGCGAGCGGAAGCAGCGACTGTTGGCGATGCGGAGTCATCGTCGTCAGGTGACAATGACATGAGCGACGAAGACTCTGAAAATACTCAATCTCATTCGTCTGAGTTGCTTTTTCTTTGTATATAGCTTGTAAACAGGTTAGACAATGCCACGAGTGTTATTCCGAGTCAAACGGAACCATTCCAGAGCTGTGCGCAGCTTTCAAAAAAAGTCACGAAGTTTTTGTATACGGAGGAAGTATTATTATTATTATTATTGCAACTTGTATTGTGGCAACACTGGCCAACACTCAGATGCACTGCTTCTTCACACAGCTGAACAATTCTTCTTTCTTCTCAACGTTTCGGTCACTCTGATTATCTTCAGGATGAAGCAGACACGGAAGCAAGGCAGACTTTAAAACAACAAGCTGGCTAGGTGCGTGCGGAATACAGCGGGGAAAACAAAACAAAAAAACAACAACTCCCAAGCGAAAAATGACACATGCCACATGATCACAATAGGGGTGCTAGTCCTCCGTGTGAGAGACTAGGGCGGTGATAATTATGTACAACCTGTGGAATACAGCAGGGGGAGGGGGGGGGGGGACACTCTCAGGCGAGAGGCTGAGAAAAAAACCGGCAACAGCCACATGACTACAGTAGTGTGGACAGTGCTAACATAATGCTAAAGTCTAGGGTGGTGATACGTACAATTTGTGGGTGCTAAGGGTTCACATGGATAGCTATCACTCCAATGAAAAAGCCAGGCAACCAGAGTTCACAGGAGATCCCAACCACTGCTGGTGTTGATATTAGGCACCATGTCCCGGATCTTGACCGCTTCCCAAATCCTTCTCCTTGCCCTGCCTGGCTCTGTCGCAAGCACACAGATGTTGGCGAATCCGGTCTGCCCCAGCGACAATGGCTCATCGGCATGGAAGATCCGGTAATGCTCACCCAGCGCCTTTCCTCGGACCTCGTTGCGTGCATTATCGTTGTGCTCCCCTGACCTTGTCGCAACGCTTCGGCCAGTTTCACCCACATAGTCATCACCGCATTATTATTATTATTGTTATTAAGCTTACATGGAGATAAAATGTAATTAACGCAATAAATAGAGTAAGCTGCTCACTCAGTACAAACACCATAAGCAACAATTGTTTTCATGTAGAGTATCTTGTTCCTTGAACGTTTTCGTGGCCATCTCATCAGAAGGATTACTGGCAAATCAAAAATAATTCTAAACTCAATATATATACGCACAATGCAAGTAATAATTTAGACCCTATCTAGCGTTAACATCTACATCAGCCTCGTCTGGAATGGCAGTAGCGGCAAGGAATGTCAGGTCGGTTTCATTGTCACGTAATTCCAAAGTATGTACTGGGTCTAGTAGTGTTGTTAGGGTGTATGAATCTTCTGTTGCTAACCCTCCTGTTCAGAATAGTGATTGTCGTTCTAGTTATACTGATGATTGCTTTTCCGTTTGGTCTCGTTCACGTGGTCAAAGGTATTTGCGTGTATTGGAGTCTATCTACATCTTTACCACCAAACCGATCTTGTGTAGGCAGAAAAGAATTTGTTTACGTTGAACTTGTTTGTGAATTAAGATCAGTAGTTCTCGTTTTTGGTTGCATGGTTACTTTCTAGTGGTGACTTTATCTCATCTGTTGTCACCTGATATCGTTGATTGATGTCATGTTTCTTTCAGCTCTCATTTTCTCGCGCTAGTTAGGGTCTAAATATTTACTTGCATTGTGCGTATATATATTGAGTTTAGAATTAGTTTTGATTTGCCAGTAATCCTTCTGATGAGATGGCCACGAAAACGTTTAGGAACAAGCTTCTTTATATACATGAAAACAAGTGTTGCTTATGGTGTTTGTACTGAGTGCGCAGCTTACTCTATTTATTGCGTTAATTATTATTATTAATAGCAGTACTACAATAGAGTCCTGCACATTCAACACCCAACCGGGTCTACCGGATTCTATAAGATTATACGGGATTCTGTGCATCTGTACAACGTGCATAAGGCTTATTGACCGTACCTCTCTGTATCCCAGGTACCCTGCGAATCAATCAAATACACTCATCTGGGCCCTAAATTTCCAAAATTGTCGGCTCAGCCACCCTGCCCACACGAGTAAATTGTACTTCAGATGGCTGACCGTACCCCACTGAAATACCTTCCGACGCCCCTGCAACACCTTAGCAGTATAGAGTGCATGGTGGTGACGGGTTAAGGATGTAGTGAAGTGGAGTATGGCGAAAAGCCCTGTCACAGTATCATATTGTGAACCCATAACAACCCATTGTGAACCCATAGCAACAACCCATTGTGAGCTCATAGCAACAACCCATTGTGAACCCATAGCAACAACCCATTGTGAGCACATAGCAACAACCCATTGCGAGCACATAGCAACAACCCATTGTTAACCCATAGCAACAACCCATTGTGAACCCATAGCAACCACCCATTGTGAACCCATAGCAACAACCCATTGTGAACCCATAGCAACAACCCATTGTTAACCCATAGCAACAACCCATTGTTAACCCATAGCAACAACCCGTTGTGAACCCATAGCAACAACCTGTTGTTAACCCATAGCAACAACCCATTGTGAACCCATAGCAACAACCCATTGTGAACCCATAGCAACAACCCGTTGTGAACCCATAGCAACAACCCATTGTTAACCCATAGCAACAACCCATTGTGAACCCATAGCAACAACCCGTTGTGAACCCATAGCAACAACCCATTGTTAACCCATAGCAACAACCCATTGTGAACCCATAGCAACAACCCGTTGTGAACCCATAGCAACAACCCATTGTGAACCCATAGCAACAACCCATTGTGAACCCATAGCAACAACCCGTTGTGAACCCATAGCAACAACCTGTTGTTAACCCATAGCAACAACCCATTGTGAACCCATAGCAACAACCCATTGTGAACCCATAGCCACAACCCGTTGTGAACCCATAGCGTGCCACCAAGAGTACATGAAAACCAGAGTGTGCAGCTTGGGGCCTTCTTTGCTATGGGTGTATGTCACGGCGGAATTCCGTGATTACATCATATTTGGTGCAGATCTGAGGCGGGAAATGGCGTAGTGCGTACAGCTGAGCTGCAGTTGTGCAGAAAAAGACCTGCTTGAATCCTGCTTGTACGCACTACATCACTAAAATGATGTAATCACGGAATTTCGCCGTGACAGCAACCCATCCGAGCTGCACACTCTGGTTCATGTACTCTTGCAACAACCCACTGTGAACCCATAGCAACGACCCTTTGTGAACCCATAGCAACAACCCATTGTGAACCCATAGCAATACTCCAGAGGAAGTCACATGGAAACGAGTTATGAAGCAACTATCCACAACAGTAACAAGATAATAAGCACCCGGCAGCCCTGCTACCGCACGTTCTGACTGCTTATCATATTGTTACAGTCGTGGATGGTTGCTTCATAACTCGTTTCCATGTGATTTTTTCATTATTTTAGTTATATAAAGTGGCTCAGTATCCGAGTTAAATACTCCAGTGAATGTTGGTTTGCAGAAAACTGTCCGCATTGTGTCACTTGAATTGCATATTGAATGTGCCTGAGATTCATTCCCCCTATGCTGGGGTATGCTCCACTGGTCTGGATGTCTGCTGCCCCGACCCATCTGGCAAGGCTCGACCGCATTCAGCAGAAGGCAATGGCCATCATAGGACCAGATGTGCTCCTCCAGAGTCTGGCTGCCCGACACTCTCTCTGGGCTGTGCTACATGTACAAGCTTCAGTGCATTGAAAGCCCACAACAGCTGACCAACATTGTCCCACCAGCTGCACCCACTGTGGTTAGTCCACGAATCCGACACACACATGCGGTGACCCATCCTCACCAGCTCCTCAATACCCTACCACCAGCTGCACCGGAGTACATCAGGCGGTCCTTCCCGTTTGCCCACATCAGTTTGTGGAATCAACTGCCACCCTCCCTGTTCCAGCCACCAATGTCCCTGCAACGGCTGCACCGCTTCTAGGCAGCTGCATGGAAGCACTTGCTACACACTGACTGACTGTGGGCTACAGGCCACCTCTGAAAGCCCGGCACTGCTGCACACACCTGCGACGATGTCGCCAGCCACTCTGGTCTAGATTCACCCTGCCGTATCACTGTATCACTCGAGAGCTACCCACGCATCTCTCAATCTCCCCCCCTTTTCCACTATTATTATTCCCTTCTTATTTTGCCTTTTTTTGTCTTTAGTCACTTTCTTATGTTGGTTCATTATAAACTTATGATTCATTTTGATGCATACATATAGGTACATGGCACTGTGACGCCGAGACCCATGGTCGGCAGAGTCCATGTATTTCATCAGCACAGCTATTAACTGGCATTGTGGATAGCGCCTACCCAGTCCAATGTACTTTTTGTCTTTCAACATGATTAATTTTGTAGGTTTGTGTTCTCTTTGAAAAATAACCATCCATCAGAGCTAGGAACTAGGGGTGTCAACGAGTAGTAGGGTACCCGTGCTACCCGTAATTTGATCGGGTAGTAGGGTAGCAATTTGCTCCTGAGAACCCGATCGGGTAGTTGGAGAACGGTGTTTTTGCAATGGTGCATGTAAACAGCATGGCTACGTGCTACTGTAAACTTTCTATGTAGTGCAAGTGCACACACTCACAGTACAAACTATGTCAAAAATACCCGATAGGGTAGCCGTGCTCCCCGGATAAAAAATACCCGAACCCGTTACCAGACCAAACCCCTACCCGTTGCAGCCCTACTGGGAACGCAATCCACTATACTGTACCGGGTTTGCAATACACCACGAATACCTCCCCCCCCCCCCCCCCCACAAGCACATGCACACACCCATGACCCCACCACCACCAACACACATGTGCACAGACACGCACACACATACACACACACACACAAACAATCAGCTGCAGTAGCACTAGATCAAGCAAGGGAGTGCAGAAACAGGTGAGGGACAAGCGCAGCTCCTACCATCACACCGAGCTCCAGTGGATCCAGGCGGACACACACACGTATACCCCCCGTCAGTGTTAAGGCAGTGCGTAGTATTGGCCTGGTCACTGCACAGTGACGATTCACTCTTACACTCGTTCACTGGGGCCACAAAAACGGAGAACGAAACACGTACGCAAGCACGCAAGCACAAACACAATAGCAATCACAAACACAAACACACACATAAAGCGCTTCCTAATAGCTGTGTTCAGGCATTCTACCTGAGGTGCAGCGCTTATTCTAGCACACAACCTAACATTCATAACTAAATATTGCGACAGAACTTTCGGCCATATTTTCAATTTATTGCATTCCCAACTCATCACAACCACGCGCTCTTCAGCCGAACCACACAGACACCAGCAAGGACACTTCCGTTGAGAGATAATATTGTTCCACGCCTCTAGATCATAATAATAAACAACATACATGTACTTTCCATTGGCATCAGTATTCCGTAAATCGTAAATCGCAGGCCAAAGTTTGTCATAGAGGCGAATGATGCATAATTCAGCCATGGCTGCAGGTGAGAGCAACAACAACGATCGTTTTCTTTTTTGAAAACTCCAATCGGCCAAAGTTTAATAACGACCAAAAGTTTCATTTCGAAATCGGCCGAAATTCGTTGATTTACAGTAGCCTCCACAGCATTTAGGAGCTGTATCTGATGGCTGATCACGTGGGTGATAGGGTCCCCCGGAAGTGGAAAGGTGGTCCGTGACCCGCCCCGTACACGAACCCGTGCAATTATTTTTTTTATATAACTTACCGTCCACATCGCAGAGTTCTCCTAACCATCCAGCCTCGCATCCACACTCAAATCTTTCATCGGCCCGCTGGAACACACACTTCCCATGCTTGCACCTCAGGCACAAATCTGACGCATCTGTCAAATAAAACAACGCAAAGAAGGAGAGGGGGGAGAGGAAGAGAGATAGAGATAAAGTTAGACGGACATCAAGTTTCTTGAAAACCCCGTTGGGATCATATTTCCAGATGCCTGGGGACGAGGGGCTTAGCACAGACAGGGGATTCGAGATTCGAATTATCAGACATACTTATGAGGGAGTCGCATTGACTGAAATCGGTCCTGGACAAAACTTCTAAGTTAGCAGTAGATTCGAATGAGGCTATATTCGAATTGTCAGGTTTCCACCTGTGAAGTGCAATCCTACTAATGAGGTAAGGAAGAATTGCAAAAACTAATCTTTGGTCCCAAAATTCGGTGTGAACAAGAGGTTAGGACGGTCGGTCATTCGGGGAGGGGTGAAGTTCGGATAATCGGCATTCTACAATGTCCCCAGAGTGTTCCGCTTTGGACAGTACGGCTGCGGAAGATACCACGCACCGTATTTCCGGAGTTTAACCCACTCAGCGCTAAAGACGTACGTCATTGAAAATGACGCCCAGGCGTTGAGGACGTATCCTGATACTATAGTATCTTTTTCAATTCCAAATAAGGAGTGAAGAGCCTGGGTGCCATGATCTGTAGTATGGGTTAAGCCACATATTGAACACTCTAGATTCACACAAAAACAAAGGGGTGCGGCTTATACTCCGATGGTTAAACTAACTGTGATAAATAGGGTAGGGTAGATTTGTGTGATCACCTTGTGGCTGAAGTTCTGTTTTTCCACTGGTGATTGGAACGTCGAAAATCGATTTTGGAAAAACGTGTAGGTGCACGTTAACCTCTAACTACAGTTGCGCTCACTGAAATCCGACCCAATGTGCAAAGCTGGCGCCCTCAACTTGCACGGCCCTTGACGCCCTAGCAGTGGAATGAATGCGGCTGGACGTACACATGTACATCCACAATGATGTAATCGGAACTGGTCCAGGGCGCCAGCTTTGCACTTTGGGTCGGATTTCAGTGAGCGCAGCTGTAATTGTAATTTATTTATCTCTGGATTCGCCAGAGGTTGGAAGGCCTGTCGAGGGGGTCTCCATATCAGCATTTAAAAAAATAAAAAACCCGATATTATACTCTGGAGAAACGGTACCTTTGCATATTGGCATGTATCGGGCCGACGCGTCCTCGTCCGACAGCTGTCCAAAATTGCGCAGGTCAATGCTGATGGCCTTGCCGCGCTCCGACGCCCAGATCTTGAGCGTCTTCTGGTCGTAGAAGTGGTTGACCATGCGCACGGCGGACGCAGCGCACCGGGACATGCTCTGGCGCGAGATGAGGTTACCGCCGCACTTGGCGTTGGCGTCCGCCCAGGTCATTCCGGACTGCGGGATCTGAATGCCCGAGGGAAGATAGTACCCACTGCCACCACAGACAAAGTCAAAGTCGTACCCGTAGCCATTCAGCAGAGCGTTCTCTGAGCACGTGAAAGAAAGAGGCAAGTGTGTACACACACACAGATATGCACACAGATAAACACACACTCACACACACATGCATACACATGCACACACACATGCACACACACACACACACACACACACCACCACCACCACACACACACACACATACACACACACACACACGTACACACACACATACACACACATGCGTACACACACGTACACACACGCGCGTACACACATAGTGCGGTGAGTGTTGACTAACGACATTCTTAAACCAGAGGCCACCATCAGCCTGAACTCGGATGTTGAGCTAAAGAAATCATGGATAAAGGGAAGGACAAAGTGTCATGACTTAGGACTACCAGTCCACCCACTGTTCTCGTCAGATATATGCCATTTTTGTCGCACTCGCTGACTGTATATGATCCAGTTACGCTGGCGGATAGCTTGTCCTTTCTTTTATCCACCATTAGTCTCCGTTGCATTACTACGTAGTTCAATGACGATCGATGTCTTTATATTTCGTGTTTTTGCCTCCCCTTCCTCAATGCCCTGATGATGCCCAATGGGCGAAATATTGGCAAAGTTATCTATTTGGTGCAGCTAAGAGCCTGTTGCCGGAATGGCGGTATTTTCAAGTGCAAGAAATACGCTGCAATGGAGTTTGGGAATTCTGAAGAAACGGTTCAATGACGATCGTAACAAGAAAGCTGTTCTGAACGAATTCTTTCCTTAGTTCCCGTTTTACATCCTACACATGTTTCTACCATACCCTCATGCATGTCGACAAATAAGATATGCTCGTCGCACTACTTGGCCTTGGTTTTTTTTTTGAAAATAAAATTTTAATGGAAAACCTTACATACACACACCATCTTCAATCCAAGTGGTCTCTTCGCTGCAAATCAAAATAATTCTCAACCAAATTTTCGGCCAGGAGCCCTCATCAGGATGAGGGCTCCTGGTTTGTGTAAGGTTTTCCATTTAATCAAGTGGCTGCAGTGGAGCTTGCGAACATTAATAAAATTTTAAAGATTGCAGTTTAGTGTAAATATCGATATTTTTTTCATTTTGTTCATTTCTCCCCAGACCCCCCCCCCCCAAAAACCGAACATACACACTTTTATGCAGGGGATATTTTTTAACTCCTCGTGAAACGTGACCAAGATCAACCCCCAAAAATCACAGCGCACATTGGTGTTCAGACGTTTCCCGTTTCAACTCTCTCGAACTTATGAACATTGTGTGTTTTAAATAATTTTGCATTTTTTAAATTAATGTCAAGATGACGTTGACGTGACTGGAGGAGAACAAATCACTGTGCAGTCGGCAACCCGCAAACATGTTGTTCGCCTAGGAGTGCCATGTTGCAGTTGCGAAGACTGGCATCAACATGGCCTCCCATGCAAGCACATGTTTGCCATCTTCCGCCTCATCACGGAGCACAGCTGGGAATCGCTCCCCACAAGGTATCTGAAGTCGCCATGAAGCCATGTTGCAGTTGCGAAGACTGGCATCAATATGGCCTCCCATGCATGTCTAGTTGTGTTTCCGTAGTCGTCTTGCAATAAACAGTCTTTCAAATGTAGTTATCGCCGTCCCCTTTGTATAAGTGTGGAGATGGCACGGGACTGGGAGCAGGCGGAGAAAGGTCAGCTACTACACACATGTTTACTATCATCTGCCTCATCACGGAGCACAGCGGGTTCGGCCGTAGTGCTCCAGAGCAACACATGACCAATGAAAGCCAGGCTGTTTCAAGCGATACTGTGGAGGAGGCAAGTGAGCAGGCACCATTGGCGTGTGGTGACATTCCCTTCGCCAGGTACGTGGTGGCGTATTTCACTGGGCTCTCTAATTTCCAAAAAAACAGTTGTTTGTCAGTTATCAGTATTGATACCATCTAAACAATAACATTGGGGCTCAAAGTTGTTATGAACCAGCCGTCTTGTTCTCTTGCTATGTGCAGACTGTGCACCAGGGCATGCAGCATGCGGCAAAACGAGTGTGCAATATGCTGACGTTGTTGGAAGGGCAGACCTATCTTGCCACGAATGCGGAGCATTCGGAGGACCTTTGTGGCAGCCTGGAGACCTAGCTTGTCCACCAACTCTGCCAAGAACCTCCCAATGGACCCGTCTGGTCTGATCGTGCAAATCCGCAAGGAGTAACAGTGCGACCTGCAAGGCACTTACCATACGTCAGCATATCGGTAATGCTTCAGAATCCCCGTTTTAACACTGTCCAGTTAAGGGCGTTGCAAGGTAACCCAACATTTTGTTGTCTCTGATTTTCGTGCAGCTTTTTGGCACACCTTGGCAGAGCAGTGTTGTACATGCTGTTGAACCATGGTACACGCTGCTGTGCTGCTTTGTACACACTGCATTGTATCGCAGACACGTGCACCTTTTTGTGCTGATGAGTGCACCACTTTTGTGCTATTTTTAGCTGACGACAGCAGTTTCGTCTGAAGCGGAGGCTAACCGGAAGCTGCCCGGTCTACTTGTGTAGTTCCAGATCCGGAGCCGGAATCACAGCGAGCAAAGCATGGGAAACCGTCAATGGAGAAGCAGCTGAGATGTAGAGCGGGTGTGTCGGGAGGTGAGGAACGCAGGAAACGTCTCCGGGGCCAACAGCGAGAAATAAGGTAGTTCTCTTTGAATGCATCGTATGTAGCGCCGCAGGCGGCATACATACTTCTTCCAAACTCGAAATAGATTTGTTGTCCGTGCCTGCGCGGACTGAGCAGGTTGCGCATGCGTGCATTTGTACGCATTCTTGTTGTTCTTTGCCTTCTTCTTGAGACTCTCTTTGGAGTGAAACCAAATAATCAGTCCTCTGAGTGTGGTGTACGTGGGATGTACATGTGGTCGAGAGAGTAATCGGAAGGGCCTATCGTCTGGAAATAAACCCCTGACGACAGATTATTGTGAATTGGCTGTCTGTTTCCTGGCTTTCTATCACATGTTATGCCCACAGCAACGTTATCTTGGCTCAGCAATACTTGTATGTCACCATGTTTGACTTGCAGCGTCTAACCGACCCGCAACATTTAAAAGAATCGTGGCATCTAACCGACCCGGAGCAACAGAATTGCTGCCTGCGGCGTCTAGCAACACATCTTCGTCTCTTGCAATGTCGACAACTACAACACGGCCTGCAAGTAGCTGAACTTGCTGGACAACGCATCTTCGTCTCTCTCAATGTCGACAGCTGCAATGCCGGCTGCAAGTAGGTGAACAACTGGACAACGCATCGTCGTCTCTCGCAATGTCGACAGCTGCAATGCCGGCTGCAAGTAGGTGAACAACTGGACAACACATCTTCGTCTCTTGCAATGTCGACAACTACAACACGGCCTGCAAGTAGCTGAACAACTGGACAACGCATCTTCGTCTCTCGCAATGTCGACAGCTGCAATGCCGGCTGCAAGTAGGTGAACAACTGGACAACACATCTTCGTCTCTTGCAATGTCGACAACTACAACACGGCCTGCAAGTAGCTGAACAACTGGACAATGCATCTTCGTCTCTCGCAATGTCCACAACTGCAACACGAGCTGCAAGTAGCAGAACCACTGGACTTGGTATGACATGCATACTTAAAAAAAACTGATTTCTACATACCAAGGGGCCATCTGTGAATACCGATATTTTTTTCAAGAAGATATTTGTTCATTTCTCCCCAGACCCCTCACTCCCCCCCCCCCCCCCCCCCCCCTCCTCCAAAACGAACATACCCACGTTTATGCAGAGGACCGATACTATTAATTAAGGGCAATCTCCTCATGAAAAGCGACCAACAGCAACTCCGAATTCACCATACATCCAGGTGTTCATGGCCACGGTCGTAAAACCTTGCCATGGCCATTTTCACAAGGCTAACTTTCACTGTTTGTAGCTCATCAACTACATGTTTGTATAGTGCCTGTCCACATCTAGACATCGATATTTTTTAACAAAGGCGAGATGAACAGAGACCAGCCACCCCCCCCCCCCCCCCCCCCCACCCCGGAAACGAACCAATTTCTTATGTTTACTCTTCTTTGCCTTTCAGCTTCTAACCAGGCCGGAACAACATCATTGCTAGCTGCTGTGTGTAGCAATTGTGTGTGCGTGGTGGTGGGGGGGGGGGGGGGGGGGGGGAGGGGGCACCATGCATGTGTGTTACGTGCAATAAACCACTAAACCATGATGGCAAACACGCCTGGGCAGGCGCGTGCGCCGGTGCCCTTCAAGGGGGGTTCCAGGGGTCTCCCAAGGGAAAATTTTCAAAAAATGAAGCAAATCCTGCATCTTGAGCAAAAAAGGGGGGTTCCGGGCACCCAGGAACCAATACACGGCACGCGCCTGCCTGGGTGACTCCTTCATTCGACTTACCCATGCACAGAGGTCCATATGTTCCTCCGCTGGGGCAACTGCATTCGTATGACCAGGAGCCGTTTTTCTTCACACACGTGCTGCCGTAGCCGCACAGATGCTGGTTTGTTGCACACTCATCCTGGTCTGAGACGGGAGAAATGATACACCGACAATACCACCACCACCAGCAACAACAACAACAACACATATTGATACATTGCACTACTTTTCGAAGTGCATGCATTCTCATATTCGGAGTATAGTGCGCACCTGCAATTTGGAGCATGAAATAGCGTGTCTAAAGTGCACACTGTACTCCGAAAAATATGGCAATTGTATCCTCAAATGAAGTGGAATCGCGTTCACAATGCCTTTTTGTCGTGTGAGTCATTTGGTGAGTTACCCTGCGAAACATGCTAAGATTTGCAAAGATGCAGGTGCGTGCATCGGCGCATGACGCCGTCACCAGTTCACACTTGAAATGCAGCTATATGGTATGCTTGCCTCCCCTCACACATTATTAGAAGGTGAACAGACTCAAGGCTTCCGTCGTTTCCAACATTGTACGGCAGTACGGTTGCGTTCCCGTTCCTGGCGTTCACATTGGATGCCGTCAACCGGCATAATGACCATCCTATCGGTTGCCGTCGCTCCTTACGTCACATTCCGCCGCGCCCAGTCAAGTATGAACTAGGCTTTTAAAAGTTATATTCAGCATACTCCATACACAAATTTCACAGCATTTTTTCCGCGTCGTTCACTTCACCCCTACATACATAATATTATGCAGCTTCTCAACTTACAGCACACGTAATTGGCCTGAGAGCCCTGGCAGGGGGCAGTGGAGTTGTACGCACACGCCAGGCTCTGTATCGTGGTGCAGCTCTCTCGGTCACAGTGAAAGGCTGATGCATCTGAAACCAGTAGAAAACATGGCAGCACACACAGGGTTACCAGGGTTACCAGGGCGTAGCTGGTCCCCCGTTTAGGGGGGGGGGGGGTGCACTGCCGTATACGTGTGGGATGACATGCTGAACCTAAGTCGAAAATGTTTAGGGGGGTGGGGGGCACAGTTTCAATGCCACGAGCACGCACCAGGATTGGGTTGTTGTTGTTGTTGTTGTTTTTGGAAATCTTTTATTCTCACGATGGCCTGTGGCCAATAAGAGAAAAATAATTACAGGCAGGGAATCGGATACAGAGAGATCAAAGTTTAGCTGCTTGCTGAAGCAGTAGCGATGTGTTGTTGTTGTTGTTGTTGTTGTTTTACCAGACCAAGAAGCAATGGGTCTTAGTGTTTGCATGTAAGGATCCAAGGGAATGCACTACATGTATGCTAGTCGGCAAGGGGACAGGACATAACAAAATGGCAGCGTCATAACCAGCACTCACAGTTGCTCTGAAGGTAGCTGTTCTGGACCGTGTCGTCCGTGAGGGAATATTCGTGAAAGCGCGACAGTGCGCACAGGCTGCTGCCCTTCTTCAGCGGATTGTCCTGTAAAAAGCTGCAAAAATGCATCACGCATGCATCACACCCACCCACCCACACACACACACACACACACCACACACACACACACACACACACACACACACACACACACACACACACAGCGTAAAGTCGTCGTACTAGCCCATTTCCAGCAGCTAGCTCCCAGGAAAAAGAGAAAACACAAGAAACCGGACATGTGACTTAATCGCTGATCTCTCCTTGACCCCCCGATACCACATAGCTATAAGCATATTGCTCAATGACGTAATTCGTACCATGAACAAACACCCCACACAGCCACTCGGGCATGGTCGTCTGGGGTGTTGAACAGTGCATTCCTGATACCAGTGCACTCACATAATACCCCACACAGCCACTCGGGCATGGTCGTCTGGGGTGTTGAACAGTGCATTGCTGATACCAGTGCACTCACATAATACCCCACACAGCCACTCGGGCATGGTCGTCTGGGGTGTTGAACAGTGCATTGCTGATCCCAGTGCACTCACATAATACCCCACACAGCCACCAGGGTATGGTCGTCTGGGGTGTTGAACAGTGCATTGCTGATCCCAGTGCACTCACATAATACCCCACACAGCCACTCGGGCATGGTCGTCTGGGGTGTTGAACAGTGCATTGCTGATACCAGTGCACTCACATAAGGCCATCATTTTTTATATCTATGTTTCGCGTCAGGTCAACTTCCAGAATCGTATGCGAGAGGTGGAAAGAAATAAAAGGTTGCAAAATAATAAAAAAGGATCATCAGAGGTGAATAGAACTGTACATACCACAAAACCTATTGACTATTGTCAATAGCTCGTGCATGGTGTACATTCGAAAGAAAAATCGTACATCGAAGCACAAAATCTGGGTTATCAGCAAGAGGAAATACTGTAATTTCACAAATTAATTCTCGTTGTACTTTTATTTTCGGTACTTTCGGTGCATCTGTTTCATACCTAAAATTTCAATACACCGAAAAAACACTAACACACATAATCCAATAGGGAACTGCTTCTCTGTACCGAAAATTTCTGTTCACCTAACCAAGCCTTTTGCTTTCATACCGAAAATATTAAGCACCGAAAATTTCTGAAATTAGAGTATTCACTTTGGGCAGAGGAGGCAACCGTTGGTGCCCATGCTTCGCTGGATTATTGTACTCAGCCTTCAGCAGCGGTGCAAAGAGCTCCGAAACGACGCATCCTCTCAGCTTGAGGCGATCGATGCGGTCTGGTGTAAGCTCAAAGAATTCTGCTCGCAGATGCAGAACAAACGATCTACCAACGCTGGCCTCGACTCGAGGCCAATTCTGAATCCCAGCTTCGCCGTATGCAACCAGTCCACACTGATGACTCGCACGATCGTACACTCACTGTGCATGTTCGATTATTTTATTTTTTTCCGGAAAAAATCAAAACGTATGCGTGCGGACGACGCGAAACATAGATATAAAAAATGATGGCCTAATACCCCACACAGCCACTCGGGCATGGTCGTCTGGGGTGTTGAACAGTGCATTGCTGATCCCAGTGCACTCACATAATACCCCACACAGCCACCAGGGTATGGTCGTCTGGGGTGTTGAACAGTGCATTGCTAATACCAGCGTACTCACATGCATTACCCATGCATTCCATATTTGGCAATGTGAAATGGGCTTATTGTATTTTTCCAGTATAGCATGTAGCCATGCATTCCTGGAAACATTTGACCTCACA